AAGCAACCAAACAACCCACTTTATTACGAAATCCAAACCGTGTCACTCAGGCGTTGCAATGGAGCAGTGCTGTTAGGGAATATATATCCCTAAATGTTCATACAGCCCTTAGCCTGCACTTCTGAGCATCGGAGCTGGAGTTAGAAGTATTTCGTAGTTTCAGCTCTTTACAGGGTGTGTAGGGGGGAAATCCGTGGCGATTTATGAGAGAGGTGGTTTTGCAGCCAGGCTTTTCATCAGCCTCTTGACTTAATGAGGAAACTTTGGGGGATTCATTTCTAGCTGAAGGAGAGGACGAGCGCCAGCCGGCACCGAGCGCCTCTCGGGCACTCCTCCTCCTGCTCGAAAGGAGCTGAAAACGGAAAGGAAAATCTCTTTAATCTCACGTACTGTCAACAGGTTTCACCTTTTCAAGACTTTAAATACCCGGTGGTGTGATGCTCTGACAGGCTGCGTTTGGAAAACCTCTGCTAGAAAAACTCGTAACCCCGGAGCTCGGGAAGAGGGGATGGAATATTGCCGATGCCACGCCACGAAACCAGGCACTCTCTAAAATGTTTGGCAGTCCCGGGAAAGGACAGTACCATGATTTTAGGACGGGCTGGACAAAAATAAAACGATCACCCGCCTTGCTGCGACAAAGGGCACAAGAGCTCCGAAATAGCTTTCTGCAGGCAGGAGGAGAGGGAGGAAGGGCAGAGCCTCACTCACCCTCAGGGTCGTTCCTTCTGCAGGGGACGCGCTCCCAGATAAAACCAAAGGGAGGTGTATTTAAAATTTTACTTTATATATATATTTTTTAAGCTGCTACTTTAGGATACATTCTGCAAGGGGCAACGTTCTTCAGGAGAGGAGCTACCGCGGGCATGGTGCACCAAGGGCTTTACCTGCCCGAAGAAACTGGGGCCGGGGCTGAGTGCGACGGGAGTGCCGGGGATGCTACCAGGACACTGCGTGTTCCTGCTTCCCAACCTGGTTTATTTTTCCATCCTTTTTTGTTTACGTATCTTTGAGGGGATTTATTTTTTTTTTTTTTTTGGTCACCTCCACTAATAGAGGCAGGTGATTTATAATCCAGAGGGAGAAAATAGGTGGCAGGGGTCACTAAAGAAGAGTTTTAAGTCTGGTTCGAAAAATAGCTCCGGCTGCCCAGTGGTAGAAAACGACCCCATGGGTGTGTTACATGGGAGCGGACAAGTCCCACGGAGATATTTTTAATTTTTTTTATTTTATTTTTTTTTTTTTTTAGGAAGCTACCAAACCTGCATCGGGGGAAATTTTGACCTTGTTCCTAAGTGTGTAGGTAGCAGTGGAGTTTCCACCTGTCCTGCTCCCCCCCCCCCTAAGAAATACTGGGAATAGAAAATAGATGTGTGACACAAACAGGAATATGCCTTTAGTTTTATATTTTAAAAAAACGTAGTGAAACTTCTCTGAGTTCAGTCTCTGGAGCAAGGACAGAAAATACCACGCTGCTGCTTGGATTTTATCCAGGTCAGAACACAAAATATTTGCCATTGGTAAGCCGTGCCTTCAGTGGGAGCAGCGAATTCCTCACATGGGCTGCACTTCTCACCTGCCTCCGATATTTTGGGGAAAGCTTCCATGGGAAGAGGCACAGGTTCGGAGGCCCTTGCTCCGCTGCTGCCTTTCGCCACCCTGTGAGCGGCTGCTGGTTCCCGTGAGCCGCCCAGCCCGCGCTCCCACGCCCGGGCAGCGGCTCCCCGCTGGCTTGGAAAGGACGGCACAGATAAATTAGCCCTCGATAATTTAAAATTTAAAATTATTTTAACGGAATGAACCGCCGCACCAGCTCCTCTTGCAATCTTAGCAAAACCACACCACCTTTCTGAAACAGCCTTTTTGTTTTGGAAAAGGTAAAATCCCAACCCACAGCAGCCCCGAAGCCGAGCCAGAGTTTCCCCAAAACCGGGCTGCACCGGGGCCGGGACAGAGGCAGGACTGGCCTGGGAGTTACCCACCGCCTGGCAGCGTTTTATTCCTGGCAGGCAGCTCTCCCTGAGTTTTCCCTCCCCCAACTACCGGGGCAGACTCCTTCCCCTCCAGCCAGAGCAGCAGAGTCCCATACGAAAAAGAATAAAACAGGAAAAACCCCCCTAAACCAACTAACCAAACAAACCCACCAACTCAGGGAAGTATTTCAGGGCCGAATAAAAATACATCTGCACTTGCTCGGCGCCAACCAGCCCCTCCGTGTAATTAATTAAGTGTATTTTCCCCGTAACTCTGTTCAACGAGCATCTGAACAGTGAGGTTTAGTGAAGGTGTTCCTCTGCTCTGCTCTCTGTTAACGCAGGATATGGCACATGCGATGTACAAACCCACACCCAGGCACTATATATGCAAATGCCCGCGCCATTGATTGTGAAATGCATATCAGAGTTAGAGGGGGAAACTGTTTAACTAGCTCTGGTTTGTGGGGGAAAAAAAAAAAAAAAAAGTAATTCTGTATCCCGCTGATTTAATATCCGACCTCCACATTCAATCCCCGCCCATGCAGCTATCAAAAGTACCCCTGGGATGTTTGGATATCATCTCCAAACTAACATCTGTGATTATGAAACGCTCAGAAGGGGAAGGTTAATAACAATTTGTTTCAAAGGGCCACGAGTCAATTTTATAAACAAATTCGCGTTGCCTTAAAAACAAACAAACAAGCAGAGTGGAAGCCGGCACCCGCGGGCAGGGGCTGGACCTGGGCACTCGGGGCAGGTTGTGTGCCCACTTCCCTCAGGGGAGCAGCCGGGGCAGTCTGGGACGAGCCCGGGAGCAGCAGCCGGGGATGACGGGCTGTGCGAGGGGGAGAGATTTGTGCAGTGACAGCCCGGGGAATGCTCCGTGGCTCCGGCAGAAACGCACCCAGATACGTTTTGGGAGCGGAAGGTAGTCCCGTGTTTCTGTGCAGAAAGTCAGAACGTCCCTGACTGCGGAGCTGGGTTCTGTGGAGCTGGGGAGGGGGCAGGTCTGGGCTGTGCAGGGCTAGGGAGGGGGGGGATCCATGGCCAGGGCTCCCCTTCACACACACCGAGACCAGCCTTGCAGCTAAAAACAACCACTAGCCTGTCCTCAATCTGCTCTGTCGCATATTTGGGACCCCTGGCAAACTCAGGCAAGGCTGACGGCCAAAGCCTGGCCCCGGCTTCGGGAATA